TCCCAAAATACCTGTCAACAAGTGCAGAAGTCTGATTGAGGGTTACAGAAAACACTTGATTGCAGTGATTGCAAAGGGTTGTTCAACAAAATAATAGTTTACGGGTCATGCTTGTTTGCTTGTTTGCTTGTTTGTTTTGTACCACAATTCAAAAGCAATGTCATGATTTTCATAATTTTTAAATTTATTATTACTTTTGTCAATTTCAACTTGTTTCAGTGACAGCTGTTTTGTTTGTGATCCCCACGACTGCATGAATAAAAATGCAAGAAAGAAGGGTCCCCACAGAATGAAAAGGCCTGCAGCTGACCGCTAGAGATGTGTAGTCCTTCAGCTCCACCTGGAGGCAGCATCAGTCAGTATGTACTCTCAACCTCCTGCATTTGAATGGTCTTTAAAGCTGCTGTGTCACACAAAGCTGCAAAAAGTAGACTTGTGTTTTTTTTCTTTTTTTGTCATCAAAAAGCAGGAACAAGCTTTTCAGGGTAGCTGTTCTACTTCAGAAATCAGGTGGCAGAGGTAGATGGTACTGAGGACCAATGGAATGGATGGGTGTGCACTCACCCATGGCTGGACTGACCCTTAAGGGTGCCTTCATGAAAAAATAATAATTAACTATGGGCCCTTTGACTCTATTTCTGGTCGTCTCTGTGTATGTATTAGTAGCAGTTTTGTGGCAGTTTGTTTAACTTACAGTCCTTACAACTAGGCTTTATGTCAGGGCCCCTCCAGTGAATTGTGTGTGACATTCGGTGCATTTACATACACATACTGTCAGTAATAAGGTTACCCAGAGACATCAAGTAATGCACGCCTGCAGTGACCTGGTCCCTGTAAATCTGTATGTAAAATGCAGCAGGGCAGATTCCTTCCCTTCCCTTGACCTTTTTTTATTTGGAGCTGTGGCTTCCTTCATTTGAACTGCAGTGACAACACTTCCATTCCTGACCTTTTTTTTTCATTTTGTCTGAATGTGGCAGCGTGCGACTTAATTTAAAATATGCATTGTAATGATGTATCCTTTCACAGAGCTGCTCTCCTGTTGATCTCCCTGTCTGAGGTCGATTGTTGCAGATACACATGTGTACAAGTAAAAATGACATTTAAAGTGCTCACTGGGTCATCAGGTTTTCTAATCCACCGTGCCAATTACGAACACCAGGTTTCTCATTTACATGACATTTAAGAAATTAGTTTCCTGGAGACATGTGCATGTAAAGGTACTTATTAAGATCCCATCAGTGTGATTTAAAATGTGATTTAGGGGTGCCTACAGTGTTACCAAACACATTCTCACATAATTAAATTCCACAAACTGGTAGCTACACTGACATTAGACCCTTCAGGGCCCTTGAAGGTCTTTTGCCACTTTGCCTAGAGGGTAACTTTGTACGTATATGGGAATATATGTATGATATTGCAAATCTACCTTAAATTATATGTTTTATTTATTGTCTGTATTATCTTAATATCATAATATTAATTACTAAATTACATTCCACTGTAACCTCTAGAGCACACATGACACATACAGTTCAGAGTGTCTTTCTCTGACTGGATTTATTTTTTCTGTCAAGCTTTTTTGCTTTGTGTTAACCAATTCGGTACCTGAACACTCAAAAACAGCTCACTTCTCCAACAGGGCACCATGTGACCACTTCTCAGATAGCTGCACCAGTGCAGACATTATTAATCATTGTAGTCAAGCATACCAGGTATTCATACCATATAATTCCTGGCATCTGCTGCAGAGTTGGCGAGTTCTGCTGCACAGTCACTCAACATTTCCCGCGCACGCAGTCACAGCCCCCGGTTTGTGCTGCACGTGCTTTTTTTTTTTTTTTCAGTTTCTTGATGCAGCAGATGGTACAAGGTTCAGAGCAATAAAGATCATGACATTTCCAATAAATGATATTAAATTTAAGTGCATTATGCAGTAAATGAGTGGGCATGCATGAAGTGCTTAGCTTCTGCCATAACCACAGTTTGGTTTCAACCACAAGTGCGGTATCAGGTTGAATCATACACTGCTTGATGTACTTCATACAGTAGGTCTGCATTTGCATGTGTGCAGGACCTCGGTTGAACCTTTCTGTCCTCCAGCACTGTTCTCAGTGGGAGCATATCCCTGCCTTCTATTATCGAAGTCTCTCAGAACCTCTGACAGCATTCTTGAAGTGATATTTTCAGATGCTTCTCCCAGTACCCCTTCAGTGTGGCCTGTCTCAGCAGCATGATGTTGGGGATAACACCTGGGCCGCACTGCTTACCTCAGCTGTGCGTGACGGCTCCATCACCGGTGTTGCTGCCATTCTCTACTTTTCTACACTGAGTTTGCCTTTAATAATAGACAATAATAATATAATGTTTGATTTTGTTTCATTAGAATGTAATTCATACACTGTTGCTCAAGTTGAAATAATTTTTGTTTTCAGACACATTCCTCTTTTTATTTAGACACATCAGTTATCACTTCTGACCAGGTTCAGTGATTACATACTGAGTCCCAGTTACCAGGTGAAACAGATTCTGACTTCAGGATCTGACTGAAGAGTGGGACGTCCTGCCCATTGACACCATCAACAAGCTGGTGGACAGTATGCCACGATGTCTGAACGCATTGATCCGTGTCGGGGGTGGCCAGGCTCAATGTTAGTGACTGAGTGAAATCTGAAAGAGTAATATTGGACATTCTAATGCATGAAATCCCCTTGAAAATGTTTTTTACCGTTAAATTGACCAAGATTGAAAAATTGAAACAAAGCCCTTAATCCTATTGTTCAATACCCCCAATTTTGTTTTAGCCTGAATACACAGTTTGTAAAAGTTAATTGTGGTTTAATTTTTTACTGTGATATGCATTGTATGTATATTGCGATATCAGTAAAGTTTTGAGAAAATATACACGTCATCTATCAAAAAACAATCGCACAATCATTCCATGAGAAGAGGTTAAAAAATATATATTTTATTCCAACTTTATGGGCAACAGTGTATTTAATTTAGTTTGTCCTCCCACAAAGCAAGAGAGAGAGGAAAAGAGAGGATGCTGCCCTTCACCTACTGTTCTGTTAACTTAGACTTGAGTTCAAGCTTGGTGTGAAGTCTCTGGTTTCTGAACAGCTTTTCTAACAAACTGGAAATGTTTTGCATTAAATTGGAGTCCATACTGTATGGGCAGTACAATTAAAGGGTTAAATAGAGGTGAAGTGAAGTTCTTAGTAGAATTAGGACAGGTAGTTTAGACTTCAAAGGAGCTGTTTCGTTTTCCGTCATCATATGTTTTCGATTCTCTTCAGCTTTTGAGATGACTCATACTCAGATTTGTTATTTTGGAGGGAATTTGTATAATTCAAATGATGTAGTCTGCCTGTGAATTCGCGCCATGTCTCCAGCCTGAATTGCTGACTTGCAGAGCAGCAGATTCTGCAGCAGTTCGGGTCAGAAAGCTCACTGTCCTCCCACAGAGCACCAGAAATACGATCCCCGCTGGGAGTCCCCCTGAAACTGACATTTGGGTTATTATGCCACGGAATAAGTGGAATGAACGATTCTGTCCTAAAGCAAAGTGAAGAGTCAAGCCTTGAATCTGTAATGTCATAATGATCTACAGCATGGAGCCACTCTGTTGGCAGTGAATAGAAGGCTGACTTTGTGAATCAGAACCCCCCCTCGCCCTCCCCCTCCTACTTATTCTGAGAAAGTCATCCTGATTTCTGCCACTGTGACCTTTCTACCTTTGAATTTGTTATATTGATGTAAAACTCTGCAGAGAATAAATTGTAAGATTAAGGAACATGGCAAATCACTCCTTGTTTCCAGCAATGGAGGTAGTGTATTTTACACTCTGTCCTATAGCTTCATATTTTACACCTCCATTTCTCTTCTATTGTCTTTTAAGTTCTATGAAGGATCCCTGCGGGCCAAAAAAAAGTAAGACTGAATGCCTTTCCATTCCCTTCTCATCACTGATTAACAGAGCTCTTGGTATGAAAACTGGCAAGCTGTTTTATATCCGTCTTTCTTGGCCTGAATGGAGTGATCATCATAGCCTTCATCGAAATCAGGCCCCATTCAACTCAGAATTACACATAAGAAGTACCCAGCACTCTTTTGAAACAGCACTTACAGGGTGCGAAGGGAATTGTGCGGAATAATTTTGGAGCAAATCTAATTTTTCTCCTTGTATGTATGTAGGTACAATGCTTATGAAAATGTCATTTCAAATTGAAGGCACGCTAACGGAGCTCTGCTGTGTTACTTGTTTTGTGTCGCAGCAATGGGAAACAACTCAAGAGCGCTTCCTTCAAAAGGGACCAATAGAAATATATCGCCACTGGATGTCAATGTGATCCCAAAGCCCTTTGGTTCACAATC